ACACATTGTCAGTGGATGCCCAGCTTTGGCACAGACACAGTATCTTAAACGACATGACGATGTGGCTCGATCATTTTATTACTGTCTTCGCCATGCTTGTGGTTTTGACACAGAGGTCCACCCATGGTACGTCCCGGAATATGTAGAGGGCGTCATTGAAAATGATAAATACAAAATTCTTTGGAATAGGCCCGTTTACTGCCTCAGACGTATCCAGGCCAACAAACCTGATCTTGTCCTTTTTGATAAATCCAATGAAATCATTTATATCATTGACTTTATCTGTCCCTTTTGACACAAATGTGATTGACAAGATGCAGGAAAATATGCGGACCTCGCTTTCGAAATGTCACGCTTGCATCCCAAGTACCAAATTGTTCGACTCCCCATTGTTCTCGGTGCCTTAGGTTTGGTACCTCCCAATCTGTTGACTGACATTTGGAGAGTACCCGGGTTTGCTACCAGGAATACAGCCCTTCTGACAATCTGGTTAATGTAGAAGGCTGCAGTGTTGAGAGTCTTCACATTCTCCGAAAAGTTCTGGGTGGGTTTGACAAGGCAGCGCTTCCTGGGAGAAGTCCCATTTGCTGTCTGGGCTGCGTGTAGAGGGGGCAAGGGCCCTGAGCTGATGATGAGCCTAACCAGCCTGACTGTGCCAGGATTACCCAAACCCTCTTTCGTGCATTTTGTATTTTAATCTGTAAATAATAATAAAAATAATGATGATGAAGATGATGATGATATGATATGATATGATATGATATGATATGATATGATATGATATGATATGATATGATATGATGATGATGATGAATAAGAAAACTGAATAAGAATTCTTTACATTCTGTTGTATTGGTCTTTGGTATGAAATTATTTCAAAGAATTTTCCAAATTTAGCTTTGGGATGTCAGTATTGGGGGCTCCCACATTTCACCCCCGCGGTGTTACAGCGGCGACTTAGGCGGCTTGTAGTCGATAACGTCGCTGGCGCACACGTCCAGGTGTGTCCATTCTTGCAAATACTTCTTTACTTTTGACAACTTTTCGTTATTTTTTAACTGGCTTTCGTGTTTGTTTATTTTTCTAGTTGGGATGTTATTTGGCACTGGTAGCCTTGTAAACACACATATACACACGGTATTCCATTCTCCCACCCTCCGGTGTAGGCTTGGCGGAAGAACGTAGTATAATATCAAGTATATAAGAGTCATGCTATATTTTACATATTGGTAGCCACTGCAAACATATATTTACACACGGTATTCCATACTCCCACCCTCCGGTGTAGGCTTGGCGGATGAACGTAGTATAATATCAAGTGTATAAAAGTCATGCTTTATATTATATATTGGTAGCCACTGCAAACATATATATATATATATATATATATATATATATATATATATATATATATATATATATATATATACACGGTATTCCATACTCCCGCCCTCCGGTGTAGGTTTGACGGATGAATGAAGTATAATATCAAGTATATGGAAGTCATGCTTTATTTCATATACCGGTAGCCACTGCAAACATACATATACACACGGTATTCCATAGTATCCCTCCTGTGAAGGTTTGACGGATGAATGAAGTATAATATCAATTATATAAAAGTCATGCTTTATTTTACATACCGGTAGCCATTGCAAACATACATACACACATGGTATTCCACAGCATCCCTCCCGTGAAGGTTTGACGGATGAAGGGAGTATAATATCAAGTATATGGAAGTCATGCTTTATTTCATACACCGGTAGCCACTGCAAACATACATATACACACGGTATTTCATACTCCCACCCTCCGGTGTAGGTTTGAAGGATGAACGTAGCATAATACCAAGTATATAAAAGTCATGCATTATTTTACATACCGGTAGCCACTGCAAACATACATATACACACGGTATTCCACAGTATCCCCCCCGTGAAGGTTTGACGGATGAATGAAGTATAATATCAAGTATATAAAAGTCATGCACTATTTTACATACCGGTAGCCACTGCAAACATACATATACACACGGTATTCCACAGTATCCCTCCCGTGAAGGTTTGACGGATGAAGGGAGTATAATATCAAGTATATGGAAGTCATGCTTTATTTCATACACCGGTAGCCACTGCAAACATACATATACACACGGTATTTCATACTCCCACCCTCCGGTGTAGGTTTGAAGGATGAACGTAGCATAATACCAAGTATATAAAAGTCATGCATTATTTTACATACCGGTAGCCACTGCAAACATACATATACACACGGTATTCCACAGTATCCCCCCCGTGAAGGTTTGACGGATGAATGAAGTATAATATCAAGTATATAAAAGTCATGCACTATTTTACATACCGGTAGCCACTGCAAACATACATATACACACGGTATTCCACAGTATCCCTCCCGTGAAGGTTTGACGGATGAAGGGAGTATAATATCAAGTATATGGAAGTCATGCTTTATTTCATATACTGGCTGCCACTGTAAACATACATATACACACGGTATTCCATAGGTTTGACAGAAATATGCAGTATAATATCATGCTTTTTTTCATATAACGTGAGTTATACACAAAACAGGAAATGAGAGGAGCAATTTCGGCTGTTACAAGAGTGCAGTCTCGAAACGAACCCACCACACAGACAGCCAGAGGCAGACATACATACACACAGACAGACAGAGGCAGACATACAGACAGACAGGGGCAATCAGACAGACATAGGCAGACATACAGACAGACAGACAGACAGAGGCAGACATACAGACAGAGGCAGACAGACAGACAGACAGACAGACAGAGGCAGATAGATAGATAGATAGATAGATAGATAGGCAGACAGACAGAGGCAGATAGATAGATAGATAGATAGATAGATAGATAGATAGATAGATAGATTGAAAGAAAGAAAGAACGACTGAAGATGTTCATTAACTGTTTTGTATGACTAGTACCGTCAAGGCCGCTGACCTACCGATGTGTCTGTCAACGTCTATTTGTCATTTTTATTTTTTTTGTGGTTTGTATATATAATGAAAACAAATCTCCCTCTCCTGTTTCATATCGTCGATACTCTGGAATATTTCCCCATACTCTGAAACTGAAACCAAGAACAAGGCAATGCGCCTGCAACCTACACTGAACTCGTTAAGTGTGGGTTTAACACTGAAGTCGTTTAGTGTGGGTTTAACACTGAAGTCGTTTAGTGTGGGTTTAACACTGAACTCGTTAAGTGTGGGTTTAACACTGAACTCGTTAAGTGTGGGTTTAACACTGAACTCGTTAAGTGTGGGTTTAACACTGAACTCGTTAAGTGTGGGTTTAACACTGAACTCGTTAAGTGTGGGTTTAACACTGAACTCGTTAAGTGTGGGTTTAACACTGAACTCGTTAAGTGTGGGTTTAACACTGAACTCGTTAAGTGTGGGTTTAACACTGAACTCGTTAAGTGTGGGTTTAACACTGAACTCGTTAAGTGTGGGTTTAACACGGAAGTCGTTTAGTGTGGGTTTATAGGCAAAGGGAGGTAACTCTAATCGAAACGTCTTAGTAGAAGAAACGCTAGTAAAATACGTGTTTCTGTGTTAGCTGTTCGATTACATGTTTTTTGACGCATTGATAAGCAACACATGTACCAGGTTTACAATGTATTCCAGCTATATGACCTGTAATTAATCTAGTCTGGAACAAACAAACCCGTGACTGATATTATGAGCAACGTCCCAAACCATTGGATACGTGACACGCAATCAACGAAGACACCGAGCGTGACGTATGGATAAATTTTGTCGCCTCTTGCAATATTTATTCGAACCCGGGGTCAGAAGACGTAAGACAAGAGATAACATACAAAATATATCTCTACAATGTATGCATGCTACAGGCCTCTTCACAATACTTTGGGGCCCTAAACGAGTATTTTTTGTCGCTTGGACATTTTGAGAATGTGCTGACGGGGATTATTTCAAACACAGCCCTGAACAAGGATATACATGTTTTTCCTATTTTCTTGAAATTTTCTCATTGAAATGCTATGCCATGGGTGCATATATCCAGATCTAGCGCCCCCAATGCCGCTTATCCATAACGTGAGCAGCATAATACGCCATCATCGGAGGTATGTGTACATGTCTTACACTACAAACAAACGCCGTCCTGTAGTCCAGTGTGGTAGGGAAAGTACCCCGACATGAAGCAGTTTCTGGATGGCGAGCACAAGGGCTGGACATAGGAGGAGTTGAGGAAGACTCCAGCACGGGCCAGTCTGTCCAGGTTTGGGGCGATTGTGTCCAAGGTAGCTCCAGCTGTTGTCGCCAGCGACGATGAATGCGATGTTAGGGTGGGTGCATGTCACTAATTATTATATAATTAGTTGGAAAACGAGATTTATGTTATCTTGTCAATTTTTCAATATTTTGGTACTGACAATCCTCCGTTTCAGTTTGCAAGGCGTGATATTCCGTTTGTCAGGGCGAGGCATTTGTTTACTTGTTTACCTTGACTCTGGTCCGATAACTTCTTTATCAAACTATTTTATTGCATAAACACTCAGGCAACAGCCATGGCCATATGATAGCATTACAATCTGTCTAAACGCTAAAGGCCGTGGTATTAAAGTTCCTACACGCTTCTCCCACAGAAGACTGAGTGAGTGAGTGACTATTGCTTTATGCTATTCGTGGTGTTGTAAATTTTAAGTATGCATTGCCTAAATATTAATACAATATTTTCAAAACTCGGCTTGGGATAGGTAATTCTTATATCATTACTTGTCACTATATCAACAATGCCACTGGCTGTTCATGAGTATATCATGCACCAGTAGTAATGTCATGTGCAAGCCTAAGACACTAGTTTATCGTTGCCAGATCATTCACTAGTTCTATGTATTCATAAAATAACGTGTATCAAATATGCGTTGTTCTTTAGAAGGACCATTAAGGAAAAACGTCATCAAACCAAAACTAAATCAGTACACAAACACGAGAATAAGATTATTTTTATTTAAAATATCATCAATACATTTCTACATAACGACAATGGGTAAAGGTGTTTAAGATAGTTACATGCGGAGTAGGTGCTCGCTAGCGACATAATCTTTCACAATGTTTCATGTTTCACTCATGCGAATCTGTAAATAATCATAAGTCGGAAAAAGGCAGCATCAGCTGTTTCGTCTTCAACACCACCCAGGACTCCAGGCTCCATTGAAATATTTGGGATTAGAAGCTGGATCTGGTGCTGGGTCAAGTGCGGGAACACGACTCTTCTTGTACTCATCTAACTTTTCTATCATCACTGCAGCTAGTTCTGGATACTTAGCTATAATGTCTTCGTGTTCTGTAGGATCCGCTGTGATGTTGAACATCATGTATGGCGGAAACGGTCTATCGTCTGCTTCATACACACTCATGTCCATTCCCAACTTTGGCAGTGGAGCCCAGTTGTTATAGTTTCCAGGACTCCCTTGAATGAGCTTCAGATCTCCATATCGGATAGCTGACGAATTTGTCATGTCGTATATATTGTAGACAAACCCATTTCTCTTGCTCTTTCCACCATTGATGAGCATGTCGTACTGACTGACTCCGTCCATGTTGGGGTCCGTGTTCTCTCCACCAGCCAGCTCCACCAAGGTCGGGTACCAGTCCACAGCATGCATCATTCCAGTGTTAACATAGCCCGTCTTCTTCAGCAGAGTCTTACTGTAGACGAAAGCAGCTCCTTTCGTTCCCCCTTCCCACAACGTGGACTTAGCTCCCCGTAGAGGCAGATTATTTGCTGCATCAAAGTAAGGTCCTCCATTGTCTGATGTGAAGACCAGAAGCAAATTGTCCATAAACCCCTCTTCGTCAAGACTCTGCACAACCTTTCCAACAGCCTCGTCCAGGGCAGTTACCATCCCACAATAGATCCTCCGGTTAATGGTCTCAATGTTCTTGTACATGTCCTCAAACCTCTTGGGTACTTCCAACGGTGCATGCACAGACTGAAAGGGCAGGTAAAGGTACAATGGCTTGGATTTATCGTGTGTCTTGATGATTTCAATGGCTCGTTCAGTGTACACATCTGCTGAATACCTTCCCTTGTCCTCTCTGTCCACGTCTTTATTCTTCCTGAAGTCTACACCGGTCATGTTCATTTCCGACCTCGTGTGATTGTAGTAGCCCTCTTTACCCGAATAATAACCAACGAAAGAATCAAAGCCCCTTTCAGTTGGCGTGTACTTCCAGTTGCAGAATCCAAGATGCCATTTTCCAACAATATGAGTTGCGTAGCCCAACGATTTCAATCTTTGAGGTATGAGGGTGAAATTGATCGGCAGGTACTTAGGTTCCACCACGAACACCACTTGGTCCTGTAGTCCAGTGTGATAGGGGTAGTATCCCGACATGAAGCAGTTTCTGGAGGGCGAGCACAGAGGCTGTACGTAAGAAGAGTTGAGGATGACTCCAGCTTTGGCCAACTTGTCCAGGTTAGGGGTGATCATGTTTGGGTTGTGCCATCCAACGTCGTTCCAGCCGAGGTCGTCAGCGACGATGAATACAACGTGAGGCTTGCTACATTTTACTAATGTTAATGCCATTAGTTGGTAAATGACAGTGGAAATCATTTCGTATATCCTCACTCACACCGTTTTTCAGAGTAACAAATGTTAAGCAAAGGACCTCACACCCATCCGATAAGGCCGAATTTAAATCTGAATCTAAAATATGTATCGCAATACGCATGGACACATTTAAGTCAACGTTATTTAGGATTTTGACCCGTCAGATAAGGAAGGTATTTGTGAAACTGATTTACACTCCCACGTCACAGAGATAAGGCTCATGGTGTGACTCAAAATCAAGGTCAGCCCTGTGCGGATATATATAGGACTAGGTCACGGCACACTGACAATATACATCCGAAGGAAATCACCTGGTGTTCAATATATACATTAGACTGGTCCATACGTGCTAGAATAAGTTCACACCAATATAAACTATCAGTCACCAAGTTTTATTCGATTTGCAGTTGGATCTCATACTGGGCTTTGTACGCATGTCCAAATGTTCTGTTGGATGAGCTAGGTCTTGGGTGCTTGACAATATGGCCGCATATTCTATTGGATGAGCTAGGTCTTGGTGCTTGACAATATGTCCACATGTTCTGTTGGATGAGCTAGGTCTTGGTGCTTGACAATATGGCCGCATATTCTGTTGGATGAGCTAGGTCTTGGTGCTTGACAATATGTCCACATATTCTGTTGGATGAGCTAGGTCTTGGTGCTTGACAATATGCCCACATGTTCTGTTGGATGTGCTAGGTCTTGGTGCTTGACAATATGCCCACATGTTCTGTTGGATGAGCTAGGTCTTGGTGCTTGACAATATGCCCACATGTTCTGTTGGATGAGCTAGGTCTTGGTGCTTGACAATATGGCCGCATATTCTGTTGGATGAGCTAGGTCTTGGTGCTTGACAATATGTCAACATATTCTGTTGGATGAGCTAGGTCATGGTGCTTGACAATATGCCCACATGTTCTGTTGGATGAGCTAGGTAGGTCTTTGTGCTTGACAATATGACCGCATGTTCTGTTGGATGAGCTAGGTCTTGGTGCTTGACAATATGCCCACATGTTCTTTTGGATGAGCTAGGTCATGGTGCTTGACAATATGCCCACATGTTCTGTTGGGTGAGCTACGTAGGTCTTTGTGCTTGACAACATGGCCGCATGTTCTGTTGGATGAGCTAGGTCTTGGTACTTGACAATATAGCCGCATGTTCTGTTGGATGAGCAAGGTCTTGGTGCTTGGCATTATGGATTACTTTGTGGAATGGAGCCAAGGTGGTGGTTCTAATACACGCTGATTACTGATTAAACGTCTCTTGCACTAACGAGTAAAAACTTTGAAATGTATAAATCAGTTCCAGATGTAAAATGGTGTAGCAAGTTAAAATGTTCACAAATCACTCGGTGAAGGATTCAGCAGGTTTGTAATGCAAGGGAAGTAAGTCTATACCTGATAGCTTTTGAAGCGTACATACAATCCTCAGAAATGCAAACAATACTGCATCAACAGCCGGTCATGTCATTAACATTCGCGTTCACAACTGCGTTGGAAGCTTTATTTGGCCCTAATTCGAATATTTGAAGACACCAACAAACTCACCAACTCATCAGTTCACCAACTCATCTGCTTCCATGATTATTGACGATGACCTTAACGGCTTTGCAAGTTCATATATGTATACATGATAACAAATTGCAAACAAATTTAAGATTTTGTTTTTGTTAACCGTTGTCACACCTTAACTGAAGAAATAAGTGAACGTTTCAATTATTCCATTATTTCAAAACTTTGTGTTTTCATTTTTTCATAATGAATAGGAAATCTAAAATTTACAGGCAACACGTATGTTCATCAGCAGTCCTATTTATATTGCAATCTCCTGTACATGTAGCAATTGTCAAACAGATAGATTTTTAAGTCTCTCTCTCTCTCTGTCTAAACACAGGGGCGGGCGGGTAGCCTAGTGGTTAAAGCGTTCGCTCGTCACGCAGATTCCCGACATGGGTACAATGTGCGAAGCCCATTTCACTCACTCACTCACTCTAAACACAGAAACAGGCGTATTTTACTGGCGCGTGTTCTAATAAGACTCTTCGATTAGAGTTACCTCTTTTTGCCTATTATTCAAAACTGAACCACTTCTAAGTTAAACAACGTCTGCGTTAAAAACAAACATACAAATAAAGAAATGTCAGGTCACTTTTGGAAAGATAAACTGACATAACTCCACCAGTCACAACATTGTGTAACAGCTTACATGTGGGAAGACAATCTAAAGTGCAGTGTCAAAACATTGTGAAAAAGTATGCAGCAGTCAACATTATTTTGCAATAATGAAGTTTGTCCCCTTATTCGCAATATTGCGTAAGAGGCGACTATGCTTGTCATTAAAAGTGACTAACGGGATCGGGTGATTAGGTTGATGCATGTCATTGTATCCCAGTTGCGTGGATCGAAGCTCATGATGTCAATCACTGGATTGTCTGGTCCAGATTCGATTATTTACAGACCGCCGTCACATAGCTGGAATATTGCTGAGTGCCGCGTTAAACAACAAACATTATGTGTGACTACAGCATAAGCATATATTTTTACATTACTATCTACTAATGATGACACAAAAGGTTCGCGAAAAGTTTAGTGTATCCTGCCCTATCGGAAGCATCCGATACAAACACATGCAAAGGCAAGTCAAATTTTCAACTGAAACAATACCTGATGTCTTCCATATGTCTACCATAAAACCTTTTGAAATTTGTTACGAATGTTGTAACACGGATGAAACAACTTTTGAGCAAGAGTCGTTTGACGCTCTTTAAACTCTTGGAGGAAAAGTCATGCTCGACTGTATCTAAAGAGTTGTGAAATGTATGGACACCAAAGGCTTGATGCTGGAATATTGTCCGCACAGATAATCACAGAATTCCAGGACACTTGTCTCATTCTACAGCAGATAATATCCCACAACATAACAGACATTGATAACACATATAACATTCAGTCCTACTCTTTTAACATCTATCAAACTGTACAAGAAACGGTTAAATTAATTAAAGGTAGCCATCGAGTGTTCATCCCAATCACTGCTTAATGCCCAAACTAGGCTTACATCATTGTATCAATTTTTAGCGTCACGGGGTTCCCCATTACGTCACATATGTCCTTGTTTTGCGAGATACGTTCAGTAACAAGTTGTAGTAGACGCTATAACACCGAAGTCGTGTGCAAAATGGAAATTCCATTGTGATGTATTTAGTGAGTGAGTATGGTTTTACGCCGCTTTTAGCAATATTCCAGCAATATCAGGGCGGGGGACACCAGAAATGGGCTTCACACATTGTACCCATGTCGGTAATCGAAGCCTGGTCTTCGGCGTGACGAGCGAACGTTTTAACCAATAGGCTACCCGACCGCCCCGTGGTGTATTTAGTCCACGTTTTCCTTTGGGGTCTTCCAGACTTTCGATATGAAACATAAAGATGTGGTATAAACATAATTTTGATAAGCATCGGTACAAAGCGTACACATACAACCATGTTTTATCCTCCAGATATCTACTTAGGTGAGTGAGTGAGTGAGTGAGTTAAGATTTAACGTCACATCGGCAGTATTTCAGCCATATCGTGACGAGAAGTACATTAATAATACATAAATGTATACAACATAAAAAGCTGTCAACGATGGACAGTAAAATTACTAGAATATCACAGATTAATATTTAAAACTAGCATACAACTATAAAAGATATCACTATATATAACAGTACAATATAAAAAATTAAAGGGCTATAGATCGCCAGCAGCTGAAGGTAGATCACCATGCTAGGGTCCATGGGGACTTACAGTACTTTTGCTACCTGCATGGACCCCAGCCGGATTTACATCATCCCTTCCGCTGTTGGCGATTAATGACAAATCTAGCCAGAATAAATGAACATATATACTACGTCTAAAAACGAGCAGAAATAAACATACTTTGAAAGACGTGGTCTTACATACCCTCTCAGGGGGACAATAATTTTACACTACTTTAACCCCCTTCGAGGATATAGCCACTAACGATCTCAGTTACTGAATAATTCTACCAATTATAAAAGTTATTTATTTAATTACACACTATAACAATCAAAATTTATGCAGTAATTCGATTTCCTTTAAAAAACCAATAATTAAATGACTACTTACCTGATAAAAAAGATCCCTGATACATGATACCTTGAAATATTTATCCCTTGTGATGGAAAAATCAATGCAGTCAAGCAGGACATGCTTGACCGTGATTCTTTCATCACAAGTGACGCAGAATGGAGGATCTTCACCTTTTAAAATATATTCATGAGTATAACGTGAATGGCCAATACGACATCGTCTTAAAATGACCTCTTCAAATCTGGACTGACAACCCAAGTAGGTATAACCGATATTCGCTTTTATTGCATGTAATTTATTTATACCAACTTGGGTGTCCCACTTCTTCTGCATTAGATCTCTGATGTAAGATCTAATGACAGGTTTATAATCACTGTATGGTAAAAGAAGTGGTGTCACAGATTTGTTGAGTGCTGCTTTTGCGGCAGCATCAGCCAGTGTGTTACCAACAATCCCAACATGGCTTGGTAACCAACAAAAAACGATGTCATATTGGCCAGTCGCAAGATCATTAAATAACTCAAGAATTTCAATTAAAAATGGATGTTTACATGACATATTTTTAATAGCCTGAAGGCACGAAAGTGAATCTGAAAAAATAATGAAGTCTTTATATTTTGATTTCTTCTTGATATATTGTAGTGCTGTTAAAATTGCGTGCGCTTCTGCTGTGAATATGGAACTATTATCGGGTAAACGTGAAGATACTGTTCTGGATCCAATGACGGTGGCACTAGCAACTGCGCCACCATCCTTGGATCCATCTGTAAATATAGATTTATATGTGTCATAAGTGTTTCGTAATTGATTGTATTCTTGTTTATAAATAAGTGGATTTGTATCAGATTTCTTAAGTTTTGTTAATGTGAGGTCTACAGTTGGTCTTACCATCTGCCAAGGAGGCGATGAAAAAAGTTTTGTGGGAGCTATATCCTGAAAGGTAATGTTCGCAGCAGAAACGACTGATTTAATTCTTATTCCTAGTGGTGGAACAAGAGCTGTTTTCTTATTGTAAATATCTTCGTAAAGAGGATT